GCCTTGCGCAGTGTCGGGATATTCTATCTCGGCTCCCCTGTAGTGCAGAAAAAAACTTAGGTAGCGTCTCGACCTGTGTCCCCCGATCCTTGTGTCTGTTAGGCAGGCAGAGCAGATCGGATCAGATCGGATCAGACCAATCCCCATCCAGATGCAGAGCAGCCGGGGGCAAATGGCTTCACCTCTCGGACCCTCTGTCTCTTCTTCTGTAAGGTGGGGATGCAAGAGTTTCAAGCTCACGCTCGCTGGGCTGTGCGGTGATTTAAGGAGAGGATGCCGTGCTCAGCTCCGTGTCTGACAGGTAATAGTAACAATAATACATAGTTGCAATGATTAGTTCAAAGCGGGGTCTACACCTTCCATCTGGCCCGCGTCAGACACTGACACGCAGGGGGCTGTTTGCTCACTGACTGAGTGATGGATCCTCCTGGTAGCATCCTTGCCTTGCCTGTGGCATGAGGCTCCGGGCAGGGCGGTGGCGTCTAAAATCTGCCAGGAGAGCCAGCTGCCGCCCACCCCCGCCGTCCCTGACTCATCACGACGGACAATGCCGGGCCAATTAGGAGCAGTAACAATTAAGATGCGCCGGGGACATGTGAGCCTTTGCAAACACTTATTAAAACGCATCAATAATTAAGTGCCTCTTTAATAGTTACATTTCTGGCCTCCGGACATATCTGTTTATCAACCTTGGGTCGCAGCGTGTTCTGAGAGCTGGGTTATGGCCTTACACGTGATGATGAAAATTTAAAATTTCCCCCTGACTTGAATCTGAGATCGGACAGTGCCGGGGCGGCGTGAGGGTGCGTGGGCCTCTCCCGGCTGCCTAACGCTGGAGGCATGATGCTAGAGGCTCTGCGCAGCCTCCGCTAGGCCCCGTCCCCCGTCCTGGCCTGTGACAGGCGAGGAAGGATACCTGCCCGAGAGGAGTGATCTTAGGGTTAGCAGTTGCGCGCAGAACGCCGGCGCTGTGTGAGCGGAGTCACGGCAGCTTCCGTGAGGCCCCTGCCGCGAGTGGAAGACGGAGCGAAGCAGCAGTTGGCTGAGGGACCGTGATGACCGGCGTGTACCCGTGGCTGCAAACTCAGCGCAGAGGGGACCAGGCAGGTGATGGCAAGGAAGGAGCCAGGCTGGGTGGGGGCTGGGTAGACAGAAGAGCACCCATGGATTCCGCCCAGAGGGGGCGCTGCCTCTCTGCCCCGGCCCAGGCAGGGGTGCCCACCCGGGTGGCCTGGGCTTCTGACTTCTTAAGGGAACCGGGAAATCCAAGTGTTTATATGAAATCTGACTTTTTAAATGAGGCAACTCATTAAAAAAAAAAAAAAATTTTTT